AATTATTTAGCGATATAAAAAATAAAAAAAAAAAAAATTAAATTAAAAAAAATAAAATGAAATAAAATAAAATGAATAAAACTGTAATAATCTTAATTATCTTCCAACTTTACTATGAGCAATGGCATTTTCTTCAACAATAAATTTCACCTGCTGATTTTATCTGCAGTTGTTTCCCATGCCACAGCGTGTACCTCTAGATTATGTAATGACAGGGCGTGATTTTATTGCCGGAACATCGGCTAGCGAGCGCACGGATGCGTGGGAGTTTTATCATTACAATGCGGCACGCAGTGATGTTATTGGCGCCTTGAGGGCGTTGCCCGATACGCGTGACGTCAGGTGAGTAGACATATTGATAGACTCACCCTTATAGGAATAGCAAGCAACAGTTACAATACACTTTTCTAAATGCAACCCTTCCACTTCATTGCAGCTGCACCGCACGCCCCTATCACTTCACCGTTCAGCATGCACGCGTCTCCATTGTCATTGCGTTCCACAACGAAGCACGTTCGGCCCTCCTTCGCACCATATTGACGCTCTACCATCGCACACAGCGCCGTCATCTGCACGAGCTGATACTGATCGATGACTACAGTGACGATGGTGCGTATACACCGTGGTTGTCTGAGTCTCTTGGTTTTGATTGAAATCACGCGTACATTTGCATGCTTACTTGACATTCTGCAAAAATAGACAATACTAAATTAGATTTTTTCCATTTCTCCACTTTTTTTCACCACGTTCCCTTTCCCGCAGGCGACCTGCTGCCCGACATGCTCAACCTCAAGATACCACCATTTTTGCGGAATTTCTCGTCTACCTCGCCTACGCCAATGACTTTAACGAAATCCTCCAGCTCATATTTTACATCTAATTCGCAGGCAGCACCGCCCACCAACACCTTTTCTGCTCCCACTGAAGTTACAATTAAAACAGCGCGTAATACGCGTCGCTCGGGCGTGATTGCATCACGTAATCGTGGTGCCCGTCTTGCCACCGGCGATTATTTACTCTTTCTCGACAGTCATTGCGAGGTTAATGTGGGTTGGCTGGAGCCGCTGCTCGAGCGTTTAGCTATTGGAGAGATGGCTGGTGCGGCTGGTGGTGTTGCCGGGGGTGCCCCCATCGCCGTCAGTCCCGTGCTGGACAGCATTAACGCAGAGTCATTGGAGTATGCGGCGAGTTCTAAGAATCTCATGGGTGGTTTCGATTGGAATTTGCATTTTCATTGGATACCGCGACCGCAATCAACACAACAGTCACAACAGCAAGAACAGCAGCAACAGCAAGAACATTATCAAGCAGAAGCACAGGAGTCGTTGGCATCTTTAAACGCAAAAACCGCATATTTACAGCAATTCGGTTGGGAGCGTAAGAGATTCAGCGAGGCGCGAATTCATCGCGACACAAATACCGCCGCAACGGCATTCAAGTAATTTACTCAAACTGCTCACTTTCGTATTTAACTCTATTTATTTACTTTGTAGTGAAAGTAATCTGCCCAATTGGTGATATTGTAGATGTAGCAGAGAGTTTAAAGATGGTGCGATTCTTCAATTCACTAGAAAGTAATTTTTTGGTCGAATTCTATGTAGAGTTGAGATTTATTCGATAGCAATACTCATTTCAAATATAAAGAAAATAGTAATACTTAAACGATAATTAAAAGAACAAATATTCCGTTTATTGTAAAAAGTTTTTTAGTTTTTATTTATTATTTATTGTTTATTATTAACCATTTTTTGTTTTCTCTTTACAGAAGTCCCACAATTGCTGGTGGCATTTTTATGATCTCCCGGCACTGGTTTCATAAATTGAATTGAGGATACGACGCTGGCCACGCCTATTGGTCATACTCGCGCTATTGCTGATCACTGCCTTCTTCACCACACTGCAGTATATTGAGTATGAGTATGCGAATTTGCAAGCTGAACACTACGGGCACACGCAGTTCACAGCGGCATCATTTTTGAAGAAATATGGACCGATGAGTCCACCGGCCCACAGACAAGACCAAGCCTCCGGTTTTTATGGATGAAATGGCACCTCTTGAATATCTTCAGATTGCTCTTCGAACCAAACGAGGCAGTTTTACTTATATAAATACCCATTGAGCCGGAAATGGGCCTCGTCGCTGAAACAAAGTTGGCTCGAAACGTCAGATCTTCTTGGAACCTTTCCAGAGCCCATAGAGCGAAGCGGTGTCACTTGAGAATATCTAACTTCAGTTATTGTACAAGCACTATTTTATACAGCTTTCATTTAAGATCTCTACAGAAAATGCACCAAGTCGTTCCATACGTCAGTCTGAGCTGCTGCGAACGGTGACGAATCGACTCTCCGCAGCCTTCGTGTACACTCTCAGCTACGACCGCTATATTTTCTTCGTTGCGTGTTGGGCGTGCTCTTAATATTCGGTCGGTAAGCAGATTATTCTTTACAGCACGTGAATTTTATTAATAAAGTTAAGGGATTTGTAGACGTTGTTCAGGCGTAAGTTTTTTCATGATGAAACGCCCAGCAATACTGAACAAAAATAAATAAAAATAAAGAAATATAAAGAAAAAAGTACTTGGTTCACCCGATTCATGAGTGCAAAATTTAAACCTGCTGACCTAACGAGGTTGTGCGCTGGGCTTGGAATCCTCCAAATAGTAATCAGCTTCAATGAAAAATTTATCAGCATCTCGGACGGGAAGAAAAAGGTGATGGGCGACAGGAAGAGGACGGAGATAACTACATTCTTATGACATTTACTACAGCAATCACTTAATGAAGGCTCATTTTGTGTCGGATTCGTGGTGTGGGAGAGATTCTCCCGCCTAGTACTGGCATTCATCTCAGTGGATGAACTTCTCCCCACAAATCGCTTCAATACAAAATATTTTAACATATCGCGCTGCCCTTGCAGCGCTGTTAAATTTATGCTTAGCGAATAAATTGCGAGCGTAGTCAAAGAAGGTACAACTGATTGATGATTCAGCCTTTATGACGAGACATCCCTAGTGGGTAGAAGCTGATTGACTTCGTCGTTTCTAGTTATCTTGACGAGAACCCAACAACTTCTCGGAATGTGCACAAAGAACGTCAGAANATTTTAATTTTAATTTTAATTTTAATTTTAATTTTAATTTTAATTTTAGTTTTAATTTTAATTTGAATAAGTTTAAATAAAATTATTTATAAACTCATTTTAGTTCTCTTCTTGCATTAAATTTTTATTGATTTCCGCACGTTTTTTCCTACCTTTTCATATATATTTGTATGCCAATCCTGTGCTACGTAACACTTTATTGTATATATGTATATATATATAAATATTTTTCTTTTTCTAATTTTCTTTTTGTTTTTGCACGTTTATTTTTTTTGGATAGACTTGGGGAGGCGAAGCCATTGAGTTCTCCATTAAATTGTGGCTTTGTGGCGGACAAATCGAGATTGTGCCTTGCAGCCGGGTCGGGCATATTTTTCGCAAAGAGCATCCATTTCATTTTCCCAACGGCACCGATAGTCAGACAACATATCTAAGGTGAGCTTTAGGTATTGTGATGGCCCCAGGGGAATAAGCGTTGTTTGAGTATGCGCTACTTTGGCGAGTATGTGAGGTTATGTCGAAGCTCAAAAATATGTGCTTTGTCAGATTTAAAGATGAGTGTGTGCATGTTTGTATGTGTGTATGTTTGTATGCTTATAAAAGCTGATTAAAATTAGGCGCAAAGCTTTAGGAATAAATCCAAAACTTTTTGATGGAAAATATTAGAAAATTAGACTTAAAGTTGTATACTCTGCTTTATTTGTAAATGCTGTAAAGTCTACAGTATTCTTGACGTGTGTACGCTCCGAGGACCATTATCTGGCAGCAGCAAGGTTAAGCTGCTCTCTCTGTGCAAGAAATAGAGCCCTTCAATAAAAAAAACAAGAGTTCGACTTAGAAAAGCTTCAATCTTAACAGACAGCCGCACTGATTGATACTCGATTTGCACTCCTGCTCTCTGAGAGGACTCATCAGCAACTCGGTGTTAGGAAACTGTGGGACGGCATTTAGAGCTCTCTACGTACAGCTGCAAGCGAAATTATTGGTTTTAAAAAAGGTGGCAACAACAGCTGGTACAATGAGGACTGCTGTGCTGCAGTAGGCAGAAAGCTGGTTGCTCATTACCTTGAGTGTAATGGGTAATGCTCGAAAATTCTATGAAAAGGTACGGTACCCTAGAGGAGATCAATTAACTGTTGCCCAAAGACTGCTCAATTTATGGAGTGTACACCTCTACAGCTTGCTGAATGCCAGTGACAATGGAATATCAAGAGATAGTGAACCCGATTTCCCTATTGATGACGACAGAACGTTTCATATATATATTCCATTCGGTGGGGTCCGATGAATTCCAGGCCGAGCTATTCAAATACATCATTGAAGAATTGATAGAGTGCATTGATGAGGTTCTTTGAAAAGTGTGATCGGATGAGAGCATGCCCCGCGTATATAAAAGTGTGATCTGACAAATACGCAAAATACTGCATTCCACAGTCTGCGGAAATTACCTCTTAATTTCGCTCAAAATATTGGAAAAGAACTAAGATAAGGAGAACACTACAGATTAAATCCTCGTCAATTTCAAAGAAGCCTTCGAACGCACGAAATTAATCTACATCCTTCAAAACTTTTACGGCTGTGTAACCAACCCTTAAGCTACACTCAAAAAAAAGGAGCTCTCCGGGCAGTTCGATACCTCACGAGGTGTTATACAAGAAAATTCTTTATCGTGAGACTTCTGGAAGGGGTCCAATCCAGCGGTAAAAAATGCCCGCCATAAGAGGCGACTAAAATGGGGCAATATTTTTGGGACTACAAAAACAACAACAAAAACTGCTATATCTGGCGGAGGCATGGAAAATGACGGCGTCTGATGAGTAGACTTTAGGAGTTTTTGAGACAAAAGGAAGAGCCAGCGGCGATGCCAGCTAGGTCACGTGGTCCGGATGCATAAGAATGCCAAAGCGAAGAGAGTTCTCGCAGTTCAATTATTGAATGAATAAAAATTTACTAAACAATAAAAAAAGTTATAAGAAAAAATATTTGTAGTTGAAATTCAAATACTTTAAAATAATTTTTTTTTGGAGTTTAAGTTCACTCGAAACAGTTTTAGATTTTAATAAATTCTATTTAATAATTTTTTTCGTTTAAGGAACTCGAAGATCATTGCCGAATCATGGCTGGACGCCTACAAATACTTTTTTTACGCTTCCAAACCGGCTGCAAGGCACATACCCATCAACAACACACACACACAGCGCAGTCATCAGTTGAAGAGTGCACTCAATTGCCGGCCGTTCTCTTGGTATTTGCAGCATGTTTTTCCGCAACTCAAGTACGTTCGCCAGTCGGTACACTCCGATTACTTGTCCATATCATGTCTGTGCGTATGTGTGTGTGTGTGCTTGCGTGTGTGTTGGCTTTGACTTCTAAGCATATTTCGTTCTCTGCTTATCTTGTTTTTCTTTCAGACTACCCAACGATGACTTCATCGCTTTTGGTACCCTAAGCTCCGGCGAGCTTTGCTTGCACATCACCAATCCACAAGCCGTCATCGACCGGCAGTTGCGTATGAGTAGCTGCTTCCAAAATGACATTACCCATTGGTATCTGCATCGTGAAAACGCACAATTGCAAGCGAGTTCCGGTGCGTGTCTCAGCGTAGTGACCGAAATGCCAACGAGCGCGACGAAGCTGAGAAATTCAACGCGCTCGACACATTTGCGTGTGGTGCTCCAGCCATGCGTTGTCTCGGCCGATGAACACAGTCAGCGTCCGAGGAGCGGAAATGTAGGCGCGGCGCGGAAACGAGCGCTGAGTCAACGTTGGCTGCGTCGTGGCGGCTGGTTGGTGCATCAACAGACTCAGTTATGTCTTGATAATCCGCTAAGCGATGTGGTGGTCGTCAGTCATTGTCGAAATGCAGCGCCGTCACAGCTTTTTCGTTTCGCCATGGAGTTGCAACGGTTATAGGTGGCTGGAGAAGGCGACATGAAGCGGCAGAGGACGAGCTAATTTTTTGGCCCACCGGTGATTGTGTATGCCTTGGAGTTGGCTGAAAAAGTGTTAATGGAGTTGCAGTGAGTTGACTAAGATTGAGCTGAAAAAAATAAAAGATATACGTGTATGCTGTTGACCCGGTGATTTTCCTTCTTGTAATACCAAAGGGGCTTTAGCCTGAATGAAGGACTAATTTTACCATCATCGCTTAAGCTCAATTTAAAAAGGCGTGAGTATAATCTCTCTTTGCACCTAGCTCCAAGACTCTAAAAAAGCTTTTCCGAAAACAAGAAGGTTTCACTTCTGAAGAAGTCTTCGTTGAGGAGTGAGCCTTTAAGGGGGAAATGAGGAAAGCTTTTGACTGCCATTCATCTGGGAGTGGTCGATTAGGGCAAGCAGGTCGCGCCTTCCGGTCTTAGGCCAAGAAACCTCTGGCTATACAAAAAAACATTCACTTATAGACGAGCTAAGGTGAGAAGGTGAATTCCCTGCAGTTGTGCGGAAGGTTCGTAAAGCAAATATTGAGAAATAATCACACAAAGCTCTGGATGAGAAAACCAACTTATGATGATGACCGCTTCAAACGTTTCAAAGATGACGCTGCCCAGCTGGCTGATGTTTTGCAGACTAATTTTACTTCTCTCCAAAAAACGCATTGAAGGACACGAGGAAGAGAAAGCCTGTGTAACCAAGGGTGTGTTTGTGTACCTGGAGCATACTGGAGCTTCGGCACATTTGCCAGAAATATCCGCAAATGGGTTTAGGCTGATCGACTTCGCCGAGGCCCGCATATAGCACCCCTTTTGCGCACATGGAAAACCAGACAATTGGGTATTTGGGCATTTAGAGAGTGAGGAGCTGGAGCGATGAGCTGTACGGGCTATTTTATGATATTGACGTATTTAGTTCGGCGATTAAAAAGATAGAGGTTAGGTCATGTCGGCGGCCGGGCCGATGAAGAAGGAGAAAGGAAGGTTCAAGATGGTTTTATGACCTCGTTGCCTTCATTCTACAAGTTTTTCGTTGCGTCGACATATTTGGTTCAACACCGAAGTCATGTGATATAAACGTTGATACCAACAATGCATGCCTTATATCTACCTTTCGATTGTCTCCTGTCAGGTTTGGGGTACCGTCGTCAGCGGAACCTCAAATCGTGAGACCGTCAGAGCTTCAGAAATTTAATATCTTGCGATAAAAAGGCTCCACAGTGAGCTTTAAGTTAGCCATTTTCTTGTAGTTCTAGCTTACAAAGACATTGCGGTGATCTAAATTTGGATTAGGTTCTAGGGAAACGCTGGCAGTAAGGGGTTAAATGTAAGCGTGGTTATTTTGTAAAAAAATATTCTTTAAGAACCCGCCTGGGTTCCACTTTTCTTGTGTCAAACACTTCTCCACTAGTCCGGGACACATTTCTACGCTTGCGATGAAGAGTACCGCAGAATTAATTCCGCCAGAAGTCGCAGCTTTCAACTCACTCGGTGTGAAATAATGGCTGAGAGGCACCAATTTTGTGCGAAAAGCTGTTTTCGAAACTTAGTCTAGTTCTACTATGGAGGTTCCGTTACAGTACAATGAGTTGCGAAAATTTTTCGTACTAAATTAATCACATCATTCAGCTCCACATTCTCCTATTAATTACATCATAACCCTGCTTACCACAAAATGTGGCCGCTTCCATTACCATCACTCATTTCCAAGCTCAACAAGTCAAATTTCAAGCATCATCGACAGCCTGATGGACGCCCGTACGTCGGCTCGTATCTGCATCTGGCAATTCATTATGTGGCCTCATCTGCGTTAGACAACTCGCTCGGTGCGACATGGTGCGACCCAAAAACCACAAGACACCTCGGCTTCGCTGACAACCGCACAAACCCAAACATAAACGTACAAACACAAATACATATAATAAAGCATATGCGTATTGTATATATATACATACATGTGTGTTAGTGTCAGTTTCCGTTCGTCCGTTAGTGTGGAAATACTCTTGTGGTTCGGTTCAACAATCTCAATTTCAAGCAAAGTTAGAAAACTCAGGCAAACTTATATTCGGTTTTAGTTAAAAGACATTGTCAAAATGCTATCAGTGAAATTCCTAACCAAAACTTGCGGTAACCCATTCACTTATACATACAAATATATACACTCACATACATATATAGATATTTGAGCATATGTATGTACGTGTATGTGCGTGTCTTTTATGGAGAAAGGACTTTTTCCCCACCGCGTTCACTGAAATCTCTACTCAAAACTTGTATGTGTGTGTGTGCGTGTGTGTGTTTGTGTGTGTGTATGTGTGAATGGAAATGTTAATGATGTGTGAAATTATTTGGTTAGTTTATGAAAATTATACCGTTAAGAATAATTTTTTGTCATATATAACATATGCATACACACACACACATATACAAACATACAAGCACACAAGTGCGCTGAAAAAGGCTAAAAAGCAAAGCAAACAGAGTGGAAAAGATTTCTTGATATTTTATAGGTGAGCAGTTTTCTTCTTCCGCTTGTTGAGCACATTTATAAATAAATTTATTTAGAAATTTCATAAATTTGCTAGAAGCTTTTTCAAGCTACATACAGCAGCGGCCAAAATTTGGGGTTTGCTTATGAGCAGTTTTCTTTTTAATACTACAAACTGGTTATAAAGGGTGATTATTTCGACGTATGGTTTTCAATGAGGCAATACTTCTTTCGAAGTTGGTCTTTATTGAGAGCTGCTCTTTGGTTTATACTCAGTTTGTCTTGAAGAGATTTACTTAAGAATAACTTTCGCAATTTAGGCAAGTTTGTTGCCAAAACATTGGTTCGGTTCACCTAAGGCATTGCGTCCAGTATTCAGTCGAGATATTCGCCCAGTAGAGTTGGTAATTCGAGCAATAATGTATCGGTTTCGCACCACCGTTCAGATTTTCACACGGTTTCGTGGATCTGTGGCATTGTCTCCTAGTTCGTGCGATTTAACATCGTGTTTTTGTGGGTTCTGTGAAGTTCCTTGTCTACACAGATAGACCTTAGACGATTGACGCCTTGTTGCAGACATTTGGCTCCAATAGTTTCGAAAAATGGTCGAAGGTTTAGCCTCTCGGCTAAAAACTATACATGGACACTTGACCAAAATTATTCTTAAAAGATACTGGGGTACCCTTGCGCTTTAAGAAAGCTAAATTTTTGGCCATGACATTAAACTACTTGCGTTTTATTTCATCTCGAAAACCAATTGCTCATTTTATTATTATTATTTTTTTTTTAATCTTTTCAATTTCACTCGCTGTTTTCATTTTCAGTTTAGAATACAAACTAGTTGAGATAATTTTAATAAGTGGCAACTCTTCAAAAACCAAAGCCTGCTAATCCTACCGGAGGTTCGTTGATTGGCTTCAAAAAGAAGGTTGAGGAAATGATCACTTGCGACCGCATTCGAGCCATTGAGCTCCTGAGCTCACCGCCTTAACCCAATTACAAGTCATCGAACAATTTTCTTGACTTGCTTGACTTACTCATTTGATTTTATCCTAGCTCACTCATTTCCGTAAGGTGAAAAATGGTTCATTGTAGAAGTTATGACGCAGTTACCAGCTGAAGTCAGGGCACTGAAAGCTGCTCTGAGACAGTTGGCAGATAGCGAGAGTGTGACCAATTTTATGCGCCTTTAATCTTCTGAATTCGGGTTATACTCTCAGAGCCAGAAGCTGCCTTAGTTATTGACCTGCCTTGCATTAAAACCTTGAGTTTCGCCCGAGTCTTTAATACTAGCATCTGGTTTCCGTTTCTCGGTCGATTTTTACGTTTGCTTCGTTTGCTTGCGCTGAACTACCATTGGCCTTGTGTCGAGGATGAAATTCAGGTCCAGGCCTGTCGGTAGGTTCCGTGGCATGTGCTATACACGGGAAGCTGCTATGTCGTACCGGTTATAGAGGTTAAATACGGCACTTCTTTTCGACTTCGTCGACTGTTTTCCGGCATTATATGGTTGTGCAGGTCTAAAGCTCCGGCTCAAGAACTCTTTTGTTGATATTTCAAATTTTGAGAGCAATGATTTCAATATAGTCCTCATGTCACTAAGGACTACACCGAGATACTTGACTGAGTTGGAGCGTATTATAATATTACCTCTTAAATATGGTGAGCTTTTGTCTTTGTCGTAAAAAGCCAGATCTTTGAGTTTTCAAAGTTCACAAAGAGTATTTGTCCAGCAGCCCAAGACGTTGAGGTCTCAAGTCACCTATGTACTACCCGCGATAGAGTATCGTGCTATTTGCTTTCTTAATGAGCTTAATATTAATTTAATATCCTATAATATGTATTAAACCAAATTTGGAAATATGTGGCAACATTGCTATAAAAATTATATTATATTTTAATTTCCATATAATTCAATCTCATAATTGTACAATGTCATCTCCATTAATATATTAAATACATTAAATTAATATTTTTTAAACAGGTGGCAACCTTATAAAAAAATTATTTATGCATTCTTAAATTTTTCAAACTTTTCACGTCAATCAGCACTGCAATATTTGTGTTGCGTAATTAAAAGTACTGCTTGATCTGCCGGGTGGCAACCTTGTTTATATATATTTTTTTCCTGAAAATCTTTCGAAATTTTTTAAAATCTTTTTCATCTGTTAAATCAATAATAAGCTCGGATATATATCTTTGCTCCCTAAATTATCAGCTAAATAAATAGCATAACTTATAAAATTAAAAAATATGTGATAAAAAAGCTCGACATTTATTTGAAGATTTTCGGTTTTTCTCAGATTTTTTTTTTCAAGTTTAAATTTTCAAATACATTTAAAACTTAAAAAACCCATTGGCTCGTGATGTGGGCATACGATGTTCGATCGTCCTTCTACCGTCCAAAACTTCTGTTGTAATTTTTTCAAATTTTCCCAAAAATATATGGTCTGAGACAGTTCTATAAAACTAAAACCCTAAAACAATTCTATGAAATAATTACCTGAAAAGGCAAAAAAAAAAATCCTGTGCACATATTTTTGACCGTCAGTGTATATGTAACTAAATTGTTGATCATCTTTCATTTTTACCGTAACTTGACTGCTCTATTCGACACTCAGTATTTACAAATATTGAATATTTGTTGGCGACTGGCTT